GATTTTTGAAATTGCTGCGACCCGAATAGGTAGGTACCTAACTTTTATTTACAAATAATACTTGGTAATTTTTTATTTGAATGAATTTGGAATGCAAGCACACTAGGAAAAGGTGTTAAATGATTATTTTTATTTATCTTACTTTTGATAAGTGTCTTGCACAAATATTTAGGTATATTTACATTCCCATTCGTGTTTCAACCGTGAAACATTTGTGTTTGCATGGCTGTGTTTCGGTTTGAAGGGTGGGATATGAATTTACTGGGTACAGAGGAATAACACCTGAGTTCTCAGGAATGGCAACGCATGGGGGGTATCATGGGCAAAACAGTATACTTTGTTATGTCCATGATACTGCTTATGTCTATAGGCGACGGTTACTACTTTCTATCAGGTGGACCGTCAGCTTGTTTGCCATTCTAAGTTGTATAAAAAAATATTTACATTTTATAAGAACTGTAAAAGTTTTGTTTTTCTAAAGTATAACTATTTTAATGATAAATGTTTTTATATTAGCTAGTTAGTATCTAGCCTTTGTAGGTGTTAATATTTAGGACCTTAATGACTCATCTATGACCATAATGAAACATCGTGAATGTTGTCATTGTGAAGGGCATAGGTTATTTTTTGTTCTGATCTATCCATATAGGTAATTTGTGCCAACCTGTCCCTTACACCCATAAGGGACAGGTTGGCACAAATTGAAACAGTGAATTTAGACTATTAATCTGAACTAATACCAGTGAAAATTCTTTCTGAAAAATTTCAAATATTTTTCTTATTTTTTTTCATTTAATACTTTAATTGGTGGCCGCCATTTTACATATTTCTGCTTAAGTGGTGAATTTTCGCTGCTGCCAGGAAAAAAACAGTGCATCTGGCAAGCTTCTGCAGTGGGTCAATATTTAAGTACATGTACTTATTTCATGTAGTTTTTCGTTAGGCTTAAATTTAATTGCTCATACTAACATGAGCCACTTGACCCATAACTTTTTCTACACTAAGCTTGTAACATGAGCTATTTTATATGATTGACCCGAGGCCTCCTGTTAGGGCAGATTATTATAAACCTTCTATTGAAAAAAAAAATGTATAGAGTGATGTATGTTTTTCAGTCTATGTTGTTGAATATTTTATACTTTTGTAAATAAAATTAAAATTTAGATGAATAATTGTTTATTTATTACCTCAGATTTTACACCAAAAATTGGGAATTTTTCATTATCTCCACATTTAATGTGGAATGTTATTTTTTTACATATTAAACATAATGTCTGTATATATATTTTATCATATCATATTTTATCATAATTCCAAAAACATGTGATAAGTGCATAAGTTTTATATGAAAAAATCAGTTTTTCTAAAAAGCGTATTATAGAATGAACTTCTATTTCCTTAAAATATACTCTAGTGCACCTAACTATAGGTCAAAGAATGAAAAAATTTCAATGACTTTTTATGTCATGATAATCCCCCCTTCTAATGCACTCATTGAATAGGGTTTCTTAGGAGGATCAACTTTGATAATATAAAATTTTTTCTGCACTGCTTCGTTTCGGAGACATATTGTTTTTGCAATGCCACTTCAGCTTCAGCTTCAGAGGTATAGTTGCAATAATTATCTTATTGAAACATTATGTTCCATCTGATATTAACCATAAAGACTTAGATTTATTAAACATAAAGATTATTAGAATGAATAAATGAATGAGTATACTTTATTTGCATTATACAATACTAGCTGCCTGCCCATTTGGCTGTGGACCCATTTGTCCACATGTTTACAACATTTTAAAAAATGGTTATTGTGACATAACGATAATAGCTGGACATATAGTATCGCGAAGTTTTTTGTAGTTATTGATGTTTTCTTCAATATTGTAGAACATACTTTTGTTATATCACCAATAGTTACCACAGCGCACATGACAAAAACTATTTTACAGCATTTTTTACACCTTGAGTTACGTTACTAAGGTTTTAGTAAGGATCCGTAATCTTTTCTAGCAATAAATATAACCTATGTTACTCAGGGTGAATGTAGCTTTCTAATGGTGAAAGAATTTTTAATATCGGCTAAGTAGTTTTTGAGTTTATTCATTACAAACATACATACATACAAAAATACAAATCTTTCCTCATTATAATATTAGTGTAGATAGGAAATAAGCAAGATAATTTACAAACACAACAATACAATTGTATAATTATTAGAATCAAAATTTGGAAAATACTAAAAAAAACAAACTAATATTTATATTAATAATTACTTATGATTGGATTTTTAATGCAATGTATCATCTTTAAAGATATGATACATTGAATAAAGGGAGTGTGGACTGTAAGTAATGTAAATAAATTATCTATCTATCTATCTGTAACATTATGCTTGTCATATTTGTGGGAAGGTTATATGCTGACTGAATATACATAAAATAAATGTGGTGGGCATAATAAGCCTTATTTTGTAAAGAGTGATAATGGAATGAAAACCCCTGAGTGTGGTATTTGTTTACTCTAATGGGGTACTAGTGAGGGACGACAGGTGAGGGGTAAAGTCTATCACAAACAAACTTGAAAAATTGAACAGTCAAACATTGAGTCACGCATGGTTTTGCAACATCAATTTGTTTTTGTTGCATGGATTACAAATATAATTTGTTCGTATTATTTCAGTAAACATTGTATATGTACTTATGAACCCTGCCATGTTGCATTGTGTCTATGGCATAATGCAACATCACTTGCATACAAACCAGTGTGTGTCAGGTTACATTTCTTTGTGTTCTGTGATGCAAATATAATCACTTTGTTACCATCTACAAACATACCAGTTATATTTCTAAATCGAATTAAATTCTTGTGGACTGTAACCGACTGTTATTAAGTATGTTCATAATTCTAGTTTGTTTATGGAGAACAATAATGTTCATGTAAGTATACGAGTAGATATTGCTTTGGTATGTAGCTACATAGTGATAGATAGTGACGCTATAGAACCTCACTACAGTTATCACTACTCATTGCAGTAACATGAACATGTTTAGCTGCTGGTATAAATCTACTTTCTGTCATTCAGAGGTATTAAAAAAGTTACATTGATATTGTAGATATTATTTTCATTTTTATTAAACTAAAAATATTAATATAAATATAGTCCTATAACGTAACTACTTATTATGAAGATTTGTCTCTTACTTCTAACTTGTCATAATTAATGTTTTATTTAAAAATGAATGTAAATATACAGTCATGTGAAATATTGATTTGATTATATCTTTTGCATATTGAACTGTGCCAACGTCACAATCATCTGTCAATTCCCAAAAACAATTGACCATTTTTCAGTATTTCTAATTAATTAAAAAGCACTCTACTAGCAAATGAAATTGTAAAAACAGCAAAAATGTATTTGAAAAATTCCGAAGAAAAATATGAAGTAGGCGCAGTTTTTAATGGTAGATTTATATGCAATGTATTCCATGCTTGACATTTTAGTTCACTAGTAGAGAACTTTTTAGAAATAATCGGACAGACACATTGAATAACGTTAAATTGTTTTTGAAAATAGACAGATGATTGCGACGTCGATATATACTTGTCTATGTTGTGAATGCTCTGGGCGCCAGTCTCTCCCCTTTCAAAAAGGAGATTAGCCTACTATTGACTCCGTATAGGGTTATAATTCGAGGAGTTTTTTTATTCCAGTGCCAGTGTAAACTACACATATATAAGTATGTATAACATAACCATTTACATTATAGTAGGTAGGACTCCTATAAATATGCTTTTATTACATTGAACAGATATACGAGGTCTGTCCGGAAAGTTCGTATAAAAGTGTTCTGGAATGCGAGAAAGAGGAGTGGGGAGGCCAGGTAAGCGCAGGACCCCTTCCTTATGTCCCTAACAATGCTTCAGTTCTGGTCTGACCGCCGTGCGGTGCGAACTGGCTTGTCACGCCATCTGTGAAGTTACCTCTTAACGAAACCCCGTCGGCATGGAGCCCGCTTCCGTTGAAGAGCAGCGCGTCGTAATCAAGTTTCTCTCGAAACTCGGCAAGAATGGCCGTGAAATTTTTGCCGATCTCAGAACAGTTTATGGGGATGATGCTGTGAAGGAACCAACCGTCCACAAGTGGCTAAAAAGATTCAGAGAGGGCCGAGAAAGCGTTCAAGATGACCCACGTTCAGGACGTCCTTCCACTTCACATTCCGACGAAAACGTGGAAAGAATTCGAACTTGTGTTAATGGGGACCGTCGTTTAACGGTCAGACAGGTGGCTGAAGAGCTTAATTTGGGCAAAACCGTGGTCCACGAAATTCTAAGAAACGAACTTCAAATGAAAAAAATTTGCGCCAAGATCGTTCCGTGAGTTTTTGAGTAAGAATTCCATTACGGTGACCGAACACCCCCCTATTCGCCGGATTTGGCCCCGTGTGACTTCTTCTTGTTCCCAAAACCAAATTGGTACTTCGGGGGCGGCATTTGGGGGACATAAATGAGATAAAAAAAGCTACGACGGGGCAGCTGAGAAACCTACAACCAGAGGACTTTCAAGGAGCCTTCTCACAGTGGAAACGGCGTTGGCACAAGTGCATTATGTCACAGGGGGAGTACTTTGAAGGGGATAAAATTGATTTACCTGAATAATTGTAAAATAAAATTTTTAAAAAACTTTTATACGTACTTTCCGGACAAACCTCGTATATGATAGTTTTATGTACCTATGTCAAAATCTTGCACCCACTAAATATTAATTTTGAACTTATTGCTAAAACCCCATTTGCTACTTGTCTGCCTCATAAATAGTTTAAGTAGGTGCGGTTCGGCGTCCATATACCTATAGACGGCAAGTTTTGCAAAGTATGACACCTAATAAAAGAATGAAACTGAATACGTGGCAGCGGCGGCGGAGTGTCATGTCACGCCGCCGTCACGCCACCGGCCGGTGGTTCCGCTCTCCGAGCGCAACGTTTATATAAGTGGGTGCAAAACAACGGCGGTGCTTAAATGAAAACTGTCACATGGCTATACGAGACCGGTGACTAAATACTTCGCATGGCGAACATGGTGACTCGCGATAAAAGTGAATACAGCAGAAAGGTGCAAGAAAAGGCCGTTACTGAAAAGGTACACTAGTCGAGCGTGAATTGTGAACATTTAAAAATAATGTTTGATCGTAATGGACGTCTCTTCGAAATTAATTGAATTAATAATCACAAAAATTATCGCTCGCCTATTTGCCGTACTGGTAGATAATTTTTTTTATTGTTTCGCAAAAAGAAGCGATCTCAAACATCAACGCACCGACTGCGTAACGATTCGTTGATATTCTGCAGCGACTCATTTTATATATACCCACATTGTAACAGCACTAATACGTGTTGGCTAAGCTCATTTAGCGAGTACACTGGATAAATTTAATAACACCATTTAGGTACACATTTAGCGTCAATAAACGAAAATGACGTTGGCCGTCACATGAAGATGGATGTTTGGCGGTCACCGCCTATATAATTTAAAATATGAACTGAACTCTCACAAATGTGTGATCGCTGTTTGCGGATCGTGCTGAAATCTCTTTGATATGTGAACGAAAAATCGATACATGACGGGTCGCCGACGAGTGTTCACCAAAAGTGGCAAAAACACGCAAGAATGCCCAGCGTACATTTGCTGACTGCACTATGCGACCGTGCTCGGCCAGCATGTACTGGAGACTTAAATATTCCGTATTTACATTTAGATTTTGTTTCGTAGTGAGCAATTTTCTTGTTTCGCAAAGAAAACGGCACTTCAGGTGTCATGAAATTTAATTGTGACCAAGACGTGATTAAGCTCTTTCGGTTGCGAACATAATTGTGAAAATCTGTTCAGTTGCCGATTGAATAATAATCACGAAACATATTTGCAAAAAAATCATCTAAAATTTTCCTTATAGATTTTATAAATCCGTGCCTTACGTAGACGCTTTTGTAGTCATCTTCTAGTGGTGCCGGATGCTGTTGCTGTATTTGTATGTACTCGTATACGATGCGCTGTCTGCACTCACCGATGCTAAGCAGTACCGGCTGACACTATAACCTTAGCGGATTCGATTACTGTTTCCAATTCTCATTTTTATATTTGTTCCTATCCTCCTCCCTTCTAAAAACATCAATTTTACGTCTTATCCCAGGAGCGATGTGAGCACTCGTTGCCTGTGTGGGTACGTTACGTGCCGACACGAACATATAAAAGCCTTATTCAGTCAGCTACAGTGTTTCAATGGAGTGCGTGCGTTGCCCGCAGCGGCAGATGGCGATCGAGCGAAGCGCAGCGGCGGCGGCGGCGGCGGCGAGCGCGGCGGACGCGGCGGACGCGGCGCCGCCCACGCGGGTGATCACGCTGCAGCACGGCGAGCACAACGACTCCACGCTCTATAGGTTCACCTGGCACTTTATTATTTTCAAACCTCATTATAAATATAACTAAACAGTTTGAGTACACAACTACTTCATATAATTTAATCAAATTGTCAATATATCATAACAGCAAATAATCACAGTAAGTTTACAAATTAATTAACATTAGTATAAATGGACGGTTCATTTAATAAAGGTTCATTTAATTCATTAAATTGTACGGAGAATACTGTCGCCGTTGGTAACGCTACATAAAGTGCAAGGCGCCACTTAAGAAGCTGTAATGATTTGTAAGAAAAAATTTGCAAAGGCTAAGTTTATGTTGCGCTAAGTCATGGAAGGATACTGTATTGTATTGTTCTATGCGACTTAGTGTTCAACGAATTGAATAGTGTTAAACCACCTAAACAAATTGAAAGAGCCTAATAAACGGTCTATCGTGTTTATAATATGCAAAGAATTATCCTCCGACTCCTAACCATTATAAAGTCAAACTTTTCATCATCAGATTATCTGAATAATTTATGGAAGTATAGTAACTAACGGTGTATACGTGCCTATAGTATTTAAAGGAGTTGTCTTCCATTATTAACTCGGCAAGATATAATGACTACCTGATGCAAAAATACGAATAAGTTTAAAAAAATATATGAAACTTAGTACCTATACGTTCCTATAAAATTTGATGATTTTCTCGATTTTCTTGGGATTTTATCAGATCCTGACTTGGTATCAATAGAACCACCACAGGAGTACACTCTTTCGAATAAAATCGCACCATGATTAACGTAATTGACTGTGAAACTTTCAAGACATCTAAAACGGGATTTTAATGCTAAATAACTTATGAATATTTTTTGTTTTAGATTTAAAAAAGGCTACTGTTTACAATTTTGCCCCGGTCCCAGTTTACTCGGTCGGAAGGTATTCCTCTACACGAACTACGTCGTGTCCGAAACCCGTAAGTATATCGTAGCTAATAGTATAAGTCGCTGTTTACATTTTGTTAAGTATTGGTGCCAATGTATGTGAATGTATATGATACGTTCCACGATTCAGGGACGAAAATATTTTTTCCTCGTTAATCCATTTACAGTTCGTCTTTTGTCTTCTGGATGATATTACGATAGAGGTACGCCGGTGCGTAGGTACCCCTGACCTACTTAATAGCAAAAATTATTAAATTATGAACATTGAATTCACATCACACTTTACACCTTTACATTAATACTTGCAACTGCTTTGCAAGTGAACGTAACAAAGGGTGAGCCGACCACAGTGAGAGTTTACTTGCATTAGTACAACCATTGCAAGTACACTCTACCACTTGTCTTCTCGCGTTATTAAACAGAGGATGATAAGGGAGAGCAAGCGGAGTTCGTCCGCAACCAATACTACGGACTGGAGTGGCGGTCGGCGGACGGCGAGCCGCTCGGCAGCGGCGTGCTCGTCACCGACACCGACGTCTACTGCGAGCTGCGGCTCGCGCGCGCCGGCCCCTTCCACTACTACTTCGTCTACGACAGCGCGTAATTGTCTAGTTTATTTATTACAACATTCAGTCTACTTCTCTGTCATACTATACGCCCGGCCTTCGAGCTAGGATACCTTGCATAACGAGGAACCGGGCAACGATCATCCGGGGGCGCGCCCCGGAACACCGAGACTCGAGTCAGTTTATAAAGGAACAGTTCCCAAAATCGGCCCGATCCGGGAGTCGTCCCCGAGACCTCGTCATGCATGCGCCCGCCGCTGCGCCGTCTAGTCCGGCTCGACCCGAGATATCAGTAAATTGTATCGGCAGTGATTTCAATCAAAATTTGGCGAGCAACCGTACCAGGTTTCGTCGCATCAGATTCGAGCTAAAACAAAAAGTAGAGCCACGTACCGACCGAGAGCGATATGCGCAGGGAGTCGCCGGTCGGGCCGCAGGGCTCGGGCTGGTTCCAGGTGGCGCCCACGCTGCGCGCGGGCGGCGCCGAGCTGCCGCTGGACGGCATCGTGTGCCAGACCGTGCTCGCCAAGTGCCTCGGGCCGCTGCCGCGCTGGCCGCGCACGCTGCGGGTCGCGCGCGAAGCCGGCTACAACATGCTGCACTTCACGCCCGTGCAGCAGCTGGGCGCGTCCGGCTCCAGCTACAGCATCGCGAACCAGCTGCGCGTCGACCCGCGGTTTAGCGGCGACCCCGGCCGCGAGGTCACCTTCGCCGATGTCGAGAACGTCGTCGCGAAGATTCGCAACGAGTGGAAGGTATGTAATCGAGCGGAGCTCGCTTCGCGGGGAGGGCTCGGCTCCGTGGCCGGGCGGCGACGGAGCCCGCAGTGAGTGACGCGCCCGCTGTCGGCAGATGCTGTCGATCTGCGACGTGGTGCTGAACCACACGGCGAGCGAGACGGCGTGGCTGGCGGAGCGGCCCGAGGCGACGTACAACTGCAGCACGTGTCCGCACCTGCGGCCGGCGGCGCTGCTGGACGCGCTGCTGGCGCAGCTGTCGGCCGCCGCCGCCGCGGGCCGCCTGCGCGAGCGGGGCGTGCCGCCGCGCGTCACGCACCACGACCACATACAGGTACCGCCTCGTCCACACAAAACATATACACAAGGACGATTTCCTATCAAAATTGCAACCGATTCCTTCTAGCCGGTTATGCTAAAATTTTTCCACTCTTCTAGTTTTGTTGACAATACAGCATTTAGTACTCAATATTGCAATAATTTTATCGGTGGTAAATATTTTGTTGACCCTCCTGTTGCGGGTTTGAAGCGAAGGTAGCTCAAGCAGTGGATAATAATAAAGTTTATCGATATCGCTTTAAAACGACCGCAACCATAAAACTGTAGATTCCGGTAGCTTTTAGCTTACTATTAAAAATATTTTTACCGGGCTTGTAAATTTTTGTGTACGAAGACAGTGTGCACCTCCCTCTCTTTTTAGTATTTTCAGCGTCATTATTCGATTAGTACTATTCACAATGAAGTAGTATTAAATTTCAAGTTTTATTTTTATTGCGCTACTATTTCTTTTCTAAATTTGTGCAAACTGTCTACCTACCGCCACACGTGCACTGTCGACGTTCTCGTCGGCGGTCGGCAGGCGATCAAGCACCTGCTAGAAACGGAGCTGCTGCCGGAGGCGCGGCTGCACGAGATGTTCACGTGCGACGTCGACCGGCTCGTCCAGGAGTTCTACTGCGTGGCGCGGAACAAGTGAGCCCCTCGCAATAAAGCCGGCGGCGCGGAACGACGGAGCGACTTACTGAGCTATCTATTCGTTCTCGTTTCGAATTCAACACTGGCATTTAAGCGTAAGATTGAAAACCGGTGTTGCCGTCGCTCCGTCGAGCTGCGCCCGCGCTCGTCGCCCGCGCTCGTGTCCGGTTACTGACCGCGTGCGTGCGCAGGGTGCCGCCGGTGCGGCCGGCGGGCGGCGGCGCGGAGCTGCGGCTGCTGCCCGACGCGCAGTACCGCCGCCTGGCGGCCACTGTCGACCTCGAGCTCGCGCTGCAGCTCTACAACGTGTACAGGTGACGCACGCGCCCCGGCGCCCACTCCAATACTTCCCTCCACTACTATGCCACATTTAAATACTCTCAACAAATATTCAGTCGTAGAAAATTCACTGTTGTTTCGATACCATGATCACCGCTACGAAGGGACCCCGCCAACCGCCTACATATAAAACATACGAATCGGTTCTCGGCCCTGGCGCTGACGTCCATGATCGACTCGGTGTAGGATAGCCCGACGTAATGTATGGGGGCGTGCGCAGGCCCGACTGCTACGACGAGGAGACGCGGCTGAAGAAGTGCTGCGAGGAGCTGCGGCGGCGCCTGGAGCAGTTGAACGCCGCGGCGGCCGCCGAGCTGGCCGACCACCTGCGCGCCGCCGTCGACAACTGCATCGCCGGCCTGCAGTGAGTCCTGCACCCCTCCTCTCCGCTTCCCCCCGACCTGCTCTGCTAATAATAGCGCGCTTCTAACCTTGTGCAATAATCTTGAGTTATCATTTTCTAGTCACTGTTGCTTCAACATTTTTCATAATATATTCCGTATAAGTATATTTCGCAGAATTATTTCTATAGAGTATTATGAATTCTATTCAATCTTTGTATGTATATATATGTGGTGTGGTGGGATCGGTCAATGAAACAGGTGGTTCGACTTTCTTCGTTTATTGCAGTTTTTTGATATTTTACAGTAAATGCACGTCTTGTTAACCGTGTTAATCTCCTCGTATACATCTACTCGCAATCCTTCATTCTCTCATCGTTCAATCAATCACACCCTACTACGTCATTCTTTCATTCCGAGATGCATTCACATCACATCGTTTATAAATTTTTTTTTTTTTATAAAGTGAATAATCCTACATATATATATAATTTTAGCTACTTTCGCCTACAATCAGACGGGCCGAAGATAGAAGAGGTCAGCGCGAAAAATCCTCTGTTTCCGAGGTGAGAACTACTGGTAATTTTTAAAACGAAATTTTCTGTATTAGATATAATGGTCTCATATATATTATTACATTTTGATCAAAAAGCATGGATTGGAAAATTGCGATTATAAACATCTGCAGAAAGTAATTCTCCCATATAAAAAAAGCGATATTTACATATCGATACTTCGTCATTGTTTCGGGACGAAGGATTACAAATATTAGGTATTTGTTTACATTTACTTCGTAAATAATAATAAACTGATCGATAATTTATAGTACTCGTAATAATATTTATTGACACTTGTTAAAATTGCTCGTTACCAATGGATATTGTATGGCAACACTCGCAGTCTACATACAAAGCCTGACGAATGCGGACAATATTTTTACTGTAATAATGAAGTCAACTACGCACGCCGCAGAATATCGAACCGGGCGGTGATTGAGTATCATGTCGCATTTGGATCGATCGAGTACTAACCGAACACAAGGTTTCATAGCAGTTCAGTAGTGGCGTGTATACCGGTGGAGCAACAAGGACGTTGTATGTGGTATGTGGTACGTGGCAATGTGGCGGCGGCAGGTACTTCTGGTGGGCGGGCACGGAGGGCGGCGCGGCGGCGCTGTCGGCGGCCGACGCGGAGCGCGCGCTGCTCGGCGGCGGCGGCGGCGGCGCGCTGGTCATGGCGCACAACGGCTGGGTGCTGGACGCCGACCCGCTGCAGGACTTCGCCGCGCGCGACCACGCCGGCCGCGTGTACCTGCGCCGCGAGCTCATCGCCTGGGCCGACAGCGTCAAGCTCAGGTACGCCGCGCGCTGCCGCCCACGCCGCCCGAGCGCGGCAGCCGCGGCAGCCGCCGCCACTGAGCGCTCGTGTGTGCAGGTACGGCGCGCGGCCCGAGGACAGCCCGTTCCTGTGGGCGCACATGCGCGAGTACGTCGAGCTCACGGCCGAGCTGTTCGACGGCCTGCGCCTCGACAACTGCCACTCCACGCCGCTCCACGTACGTGCTCCCGCCTCCTGTTGCCGCTCTCTCCTATATTGCGAGCTAACTTTTTCTCGCTCCGCAGTCTATCTATAGCATTCGATATGTACTTATAATGAAGCGGACGAACCGGTCGACAGGTGGCCGAGTACATGCTGGACTGCGCTCGCAACGTGAAGCCCGACCTGTACGTGGTCGCCGAGCTGTTCACTAACTCGGACCACGTCGACAACATCTTCGTCAACCGTCTCGGCATCACGTCGCTTATACGCGGTTCGTACCTAATGTCCGATCTCTTTTCCGCCGAAGTTCCGGTGTTATATTTCAATATACTTCAAATATAAATTTCGTCTCGATACTAAACTAGGGCGAAGCGCTACCGTAAACGGCATCCCAGTAAACATTGTATAATTTTGTATGCTGTTTCTAGGGCATATACCGTGCTTGCTGCATTGTTATGGCACACACACAAAAGAAAAAATGTACTTAGCTTTTTTTTATCTCAGGTTTATGTAATCTCGCTTTTTATGTATCTATATATATGATAATTTGTGTGCTGTAAGTGATGCAAATAAATTATCTATCTATCTTGTAAGCGCTGCGCCCGGTGGGATACACAGTTTCAAATTTAGCGATGTAACGCGTGGTCCCGTGCCCGTGCAGAGGCGCAGAGTGCGTGGGACGCGCGCGAGCAGGCGCGCCTGCTGCAGCGCTACGGCGGCCGCGCCGTCGGCGCGCTGCGGCGCGAGCGGCGCCGCGCCGCCGAGCCGCGCCTGCCGCACGCGCTGCTGTTCGACCTCACGCACGACAACCGCTCGCCGCTCGACACGCGCTCGCTCTTCGACATGCTGCCCACCGCCGCGCTCGTGGCCGCCGCCTGCTGCGCCGTCGGCAGCACGCGCGGCTACGACGAGCTCGTGCCGCACCACGTGCGTACTCCCCACCCACCCTCTCCTCGCCTTCATTTTACATTCAGAGGTGGCAAAGTATAGCGTATGTATGTACCTCTGTATATGTAACTAATTATTGATCGGTCGATCCAAATAACTGTACGAACGATACCCGTGCATCGTAGCCAAGCATGCATATAGGATTGATTGTAGGGTTCATCTTGTAAATTTATTTAATCAATAATTAAAATGCAATAATTATTTTACAGTAAGACAAATACATTTTTTGAATCGTTCAAGTCAACAAAACACACTCGTCGCTGGCCCGTGCGCGGGATGCGCGCGCAGCCAACAATCACAAAGCGCCTGCGCGCGCATCTTGCGAGTGAGTCCCGTGACCAGGCGTCATGATATAAATGTATATATAATAAAATGCTTGTTTGTCTGCTTGTTTTTTTTTTAAGTTTAATTATATTATAAGAGTTGATATATATAATAAACACTGGTGAGTATCATCTCACCGCGTGCATATAACTTTAACAACAATAAGTCGTCCCAGTGTTCACGGTGCTAGCTAGTGCTAACTCTGGTCATTAGGCGACGGCTCTCATCGTAACAGGTGATCTGGCTATCGGCTATCCGTGAGATTTACAGAATACACGGTATGAATGGTGAGATACGGCCCGCGGGGAGCGTGGCACAGCGCGGTGAAGGCGACGCCTGTGAGCTTACGGAGTTGCGCTCGACAGGTGCACGTGGTGGACGAGGAGCGGCTGTACGCGGAGTGGGAGGCGGCGCGCGCGGCGGCGCGCTGGCGGCGGCGCGCCGCGCGCTGGCCGCGCTGCACGCGCACCTCGCCGCCGACGGCTACAGCGAGGTGCGCCACCACCTATCTATACTATTGTCAGTACGCGAGACGAACTTCCCTCGCCTGTTGACTTGTGCCTCGGCGCTGATGTAGCGCAGTCGATCCTTCTCAAATTCGATGCACACGTAATATTTGAAATTGAAAGCGGGACCTTGTTCGTGCCCCGGTCGACAGATATGTATCGGTCGCTCGGTGGAAGTCGCGGGCGCGGCTAGTGTTTTATTAGTGAACGAGGCGACCGCCGGCCCTCGTCCACGGTCGAGCCCTCATTTCCGCTTATGTTGTTCGCAGATATATGTGGATCAGATGGATGATGACGTGATTGCCGTCACTAGACATGATCCGCGATCTAGAAAAGTGAGTATTTTTATGCAACTCGTTTGTATACTTATGCGTACCTTTTATTAGTTACACTATTAAATAAGACACTGCACTGCGCATTTGAACCCTATACGTACCGAAGTCTTCAACGGATGGTACGGAGGTCAATTTGATATAAAGATGTTTAATTTTTCGACTTTATTTGTAAATTGTTATAAATTTTTTTTTTTTTTTTTTGATAAAAGATCCGTTGCCTTGTTGAAAGTAGTCCATTGACACGTAAAAGAAAATGATACGTAAAGGAAAAAGTTTCGTTTTTTTTTAAAGTAAGTAGACTAATCCTGGGAAACTTCCGGTGTTGCCATCTATTAATTCATAATGTACACGATAGTACCTTATTTAAAACAAATAATTGCCTTATGAAAAGTTAAAATATACTGCGATGTAATTTCGTTCAACGTCACATTTATGGGTACAATAGTAAATAGAATTAATTTGATGTTTACTGTATACCTTTGAATTTTATATGTGCTTTTATATATGTATTTAATTGTAAGTCCTAGCATGTACTTTTCAGTTTGTTTAGCATATGTATTTACTGAACATAGCCAATAAACAAGTTTTTTATTTTTTTTCAACATTCCTCTTATATTATTTTTATTCTATTTAATATAATTTCCGTCATATAATTTCAATCCAATAGTCGGTAATTATTGTGGCGTTCACGGCGTTCACCGCCCCGGACCCGACGAGTGCCGGCCGCCACGTGCCGCCGCTGCGGTTCGAGGGCGAGCTCGACGAGATCATCTTCGAGGCCGACCTCGTGCACAAGGATCACAAGTACTCGCCTATATAGTTTTTTTTTTTTTTTAAAGTGAAATGTCTCTACGCGCCCTGGGTATTTTTTGAGATGGGATAAAATCATCGAACTCGGGACACCGTTACCGGCACTGATCTCTCTGACGATCTAAAAAATATACACGTAATCGTTCAAGTTTTTACTTCGGCACTTTCAAATCGGCACTCCTGGAATGCTACTGCTTTTTTTTTTGTACTTTTAACTTACTCGTACTCGACGACGAACGCCGCGGGACGACTCGACGAGAACTGGCGAGCGTGACCGCTCAGTCCTCGTCGCGTCGGCCGCGCGGCGGGCGCCCCGGGCGCTCCCACTGACGCGGCGGCGGCGCAGGAGCAGCGGCCGCCCGCTGCAGGCGCCGGGCGCGGCCGAGCGCCACCCGCGGCTCATCACCGGCCTCGGCGACTACGAGTGCACGGTGCGGCGCGGCGTGCCGCCCGACGCGTCGGCCGCGCTGGCCGGCCAGCGGCGCGACGGCGCGCACACCGTGCTGGAGTTCCGGCCGCTGCGAGCCGGCGCCGCGCTGGCGCTGCGCGTGCGGCCGCGCGCGCCGCACGCCGCCGCGCTGGCCGCGCTCGAGCGCGCGCTCGCGCCCGCCGCCGCGCCGCTCGCGCCCGCGCTCGCCGACCTCGACCTCGCCGACTTCAACGCGCTGCTGTACCGCTGCGACGCCGAGGAGCGCGACGCGGCCGGCGGCGGCGTGTACGACGTGCCCGGCCACGGCTCGCTGCCCTACGCGGGGCTGCAGGGCGTCGCCTCGCTGCTGGCCGAGGTGCGCGCGGCCGGCGACCTGGGCCACGCGCTCTGCGACAACCTGCGCGCGGGCGACTGGCTGCTCGAGTACCAGTGGCGCCGCCTCGAGCGCGAGCCGCGCCTCGCGGCCGTGGCGGCGCGCGTGCGCGCGGCGCTGCAGCCGGTGACGCAGCTGCCGCGCTACCTGGTGCCGGCGTACGCGGCCGCCGTACTGGACGCGCTGGCGGCGGCGGCCACGCGCGCGGCGCTGGCGCGGCTCGGCGCGGCGGGCGCGGGCTGCGCCTTCTCGCGCGCGCTGGCGCTCACCAGCGTGCAGCTGGCGGCCGCGGTGCCGTCGGCGCCGCTGCCGCCGCCGTCGCCGGCGCTGCCGCCGCCGCGCCCGCCGCCGCCGCCGCGCTGCGTCACGCTGTCGGCGGGCCTGCCCCACTTCTCCGTCGGCTACATGCGCTGCTGGGGACGCGACACGTTCATCGCGCTGCGGGGCCTCTTCTTATTGACGGGTCGCTACCAGGTTCGTCGCTCGGGCCGCCTCCGCCGCCGGTAGTTTTCGAATCTCTGCTGAACTGGGGCGTCGCTGTTTTCAGGATGCCCGTTTCCACATTCTCGGCTTCGCGGCCTGCCTGCGCCACGGGCTCATTCCGAATCTGCTGGACGGCGGCCGCAACGCCCGCTACAACTGCAGAGATGCGGTCTGGTGGTGGCTGCAGAGCATAAAACAGTACTGCACGGAGGCGCCGCAGGGCTGCGCGCTGCTGTCCGAGCCGGTGTCGCGGCTGTTCCCCAAAGACGACTCGGAGCCCGCGCCCCCCGGCGCCGCCGACCAGCCGCTGCACGACGTCATGCAGGAGGCGCTCGAAGTACACTTCCAGGTATCTGTTTACGTTTTGTTCGATGCGCATTTCTCGATGATTGTCCGCGATCTCACCGGGTTCCCCGTCGTCCGCCAGGGTCTCGTGTTTCGAGAGAGGAACGCCGGGCGAACGATCGACGCCCACATGTCGGACAAGGGGTTCAACGTGCAAATCGGCGTCGACCCCGAGACCGGGTTTCCGTTCGGCGGCAACGAAGCCAATTGCGGCACCTGGATGGACAAGATGGGATCGACGGAGGCGGCGGGCACGCGCGGCAAGCCGGCCACGCCGCGCGACGGCAGCGCGGTGGAGGTGGTCGCGCTCGCGTACAGCGTGCTGAGCTGGCTGGCGGCGCAGCACCGCGCCGGCCGCTACCCGCACGGCGGCGTGCTGCACCGCCACCGCGACGGCGCACTCACCTCGTGGACGTACGCGCAGTGGGCCGACCGCATCCGCCACTCGTTCGAGCGCCACTTCTGGGTGCCCGCCGAGCCCTCGGCCGCCGACCGCCGGCCCGACCTCGTGCACCGCCGCGCCATCTACAAGGACACGCACGGCGCCTCGCACGCCTGGGCCGACTACCAGCTGCGCTGCAACTTCCCGGTCGCGATGGCCGTCGCGCCGGACCTGTTCGACCCGAAGCACGCGTGGGCCGCGCTCGACTCGGTCGAGCGTCTGCTGCTCGGCCCGCTCGGCGTCAAGACGCTCGACCCGGCCGACTGGGCCTACCGCGGCGACTACGACGCGGGCGCCGACGGCGACGACCCGAGCGTCGCCCACGGCTTCAACTACCACCAGGGACCCGAGTGGGTGTGGCCGCTCGGCTTCTACCTGCGCGCGCGGCTCGCGTTCGCGCACGAGAACGGCCGCCTCGCGCGCACCGTCGCCGCCGCGTACGCCGCGCTCGGCCCGCTGCTGGCCGAGCTCCGCGCCTCGCCCTGGCGCGGGCTGCCCGAGCTGACCAACGCCGGCGGCCGGCCGTGCGCCGCCTCGTGCAGCACGCAGGCCTGGAGCTCGGCCGCCGTGCTCGAGCTGCTGCACGAGCTGGCGGCGGCGCGCCGCGCGCGCCCGCTGGCCGACTGACGCGGGCTCGCGCGCCCGCGCCGCCTGCGCCACGCCGCGCGCGCGCCGCCGCCCGCGCCGCGCCGCCTCTACTCGGAGCCCTACGAGCGGCCGGCGCCGCGCCGCCGCCTCGCGCGCCTCGCCCGCCTCGGCCCGCTGCTGCGGCGCGGCGCGCGGCCCGCCAGCCTGTCGCGCACCGTGTACAACCTGCTGCAGGCCCGCGGCGGCGCGCTCGCCACCGTCGTCTACAGCGACCGCTACTTCCGCTACGGGCTGCCGCTACGAGCGCGCGTGGCGCCGGCGCGCGGCCGAGTCGGCGCCGCGCCGGGCGCGGGCGGCCACGCCGTGCCGCTGCAGGCGCTGGGCGCGCGGCCGGCGCCCGGCGCGGGGCTGCTGCAGGGCGGCGGCGCGGCCGCGCCGCCGCCGTCGCGCTACGCGGCCACGCGGAGGGCGCGGCGCGACGTGCCGCGCGTGTTCGTCGTCGTCTCGGAGACGCGCTTCGAGTGCGCCGCGGATGCCGCCGAGCCGCCGGCCCCGCGCCGGCCGCCGCCGCTCGCGTACCGGCAGCCGGGCGGCGGGCTCGAGCCGCCGAAGGTCGTGCTGAGGGCGCGCCGCCGCTGCGAGTCGCCGCGCGTGTCGGCCGCGTCGCTGGACGACGCGCCGCTGCCCGAGTTCGCGCTGCCGGACGGCGAGGCCCCGCGACCGAAGTCGCCGAACTCGCGGCGCGGATCGCGATCTCGCGCGCCGAGCGTCGCCGAGCCGGCGGGGTCGGCGCTCGAGCGGAAAGTGTTGAACACGGAGCGGTATAACAACGGCGCGCGGGTGTGGCGAGCGACCGGCGCTGCCGGCGCGACCGGCGCGACCGGCGCGACCGGCGCGGGCGGCGGGCAGCGCGGCTGCGTGCGCGCGGTGCTGGCGGTGAGCGCGCTGTGCTACGCGCTGGCGCTGCTCACCTTCTATTTCCTGAGTCTCGCGTAGCGTTCGTACTGCTTGCGTATTCTTCCTTCTTCTACTTCCTTGGTATCGCGTGACTCGCGTGCCATCTACCTTCAACATTCTCGTCTTATAAAATTGTGTGCCATAATTTTTTTTATCAACTGATAGTTGCTCTATAGAAATTGACTGTATTTAAAAATTCACACCAAATAATGAATATTCGGTAGTAAGTCAAGTATTTCACATGTTTTATGTTTGTATTGTATTTCAATGTCACAAAATGGCGCTGTGTTAGAAATGTCGTTTTGATTACTTCTTTATATTAAACACAGAGTAATGACATCAGTTTATTACTTTTTTTTTTGTTCTTTAATGTATTTACTATACATTAATAAAAAATAACGACCAACCAAGGAACTTTGCGAGGTAATATTAAAGGAAACGATTTGTTAAATATATTTTATAGTCATTTTCAAATAATAAATGTTTGTCCATACCACATGAGGAAACTCCTGCTAAATGTTTTAATTTGTAGTAGACTCTGACAGATATCTAACCATTAATTACGTATACCTCTTGTTGATAAATAATAAACGGTTATTGAGAATGTTTATATCTATTAATACAATATTTGATACAAACGAACAGTATCATGTTGTATGGTATCGTCCTACCGTGTAATAATAAAGTCAACTATGCATGCCGCAATATATCAAAGATGCATCGTAATGTACGGAAATTGACCGTACAAATTATTTACATGTTAACGATTTATACGTTTTATTGAAATAAATCGTATTATTATATTAAAATTATTCAATAAAGTAAAGCATATTGTAATTTTTTTTTATATTCAATTTTCTTTGTGTATGTCAAAGTACTTGTTCAATAATTGTACTATAAGGTAATTACATTTTATTTATATACATTAGTAATAGTATATCACTACACATGTGATATTTTTTTTATGTATGACCATTTTATGAGCTACTTGTTAACGTTAATGAAAATTTGGTGCATCTTTGCTGTTAGCACATGAAAACTTTTTGTTATCTATAATAATAAATAAAATATTAATAATAGAAATTAAAATATTATAAATAAAAGCAAAATACAGCTAGAACACTAACATTTGCTGATGCAAGTATCTTTTTTTTTATGACTCTGTAGTTATATGAAGTGTGCCAACAATGTTTATAGAACTAAGATCTCTAAAAACTCAGATAGTTTTAATTGTTCAAATAAGCGTAACAAAATGGAAAATACTCATTGAAATATAAATTATATTAAACATAGATATCTCATTTATCTTTTTTTTTAAATATTGTTTAATGGCAGCAATAAAATATACATAACTGTAATGTTCCTGACACACTACAAATCTAATTAATGTCGTTCCTTATAAATTGTGTAGACATATGAAAATATTTATTTCGACTATTTCTAGAAGTAGGTAATTGTTGAATAGTGTTGTTAAATTTTTATAAAGTTACAACTGAACTGATAGCCGCAATGACCACGATTATTTATAATATATCAAAATTTTTTTTTTATTAGCTCATTGTTGAAACTAATAAAATTGTTTAATTTTTAAACTAAAATTAATTATAGAATATACTTATAGTCGTATTTAGAGAGGAACTCTGTGAATTGTCTGGTAGGTACTCCTCAGTATAATAGTATCCTCAGGATCAGGAGCACAGCTTTTAGTTGTGGGCAAAAACTCGTCTAAAGTGCATATAAGGCGGGCCTCTTTAAAGGCGCCAATCGTCCAGCCACCAACCACACCCCCTTCCACTGAAAATAATCCTAAATACGCCAATGAATATATTCTCCGATAGTTTCCATACCTTGCTCAAATGGCTCACAAATACGTGTATTAATAAGAATAAAATGGTTTTTTTTTGTCAATTATTTGCTGATATATGTTTTCACTTTAATAAAGTTTTTCAACATTACTTTATTCTTTTATTTAAAAGTACTTATGCTAGTGTATATTCAATATATAAAATATAGTGTAATTTATTTATGCTTTATTGACCACATTACAAAAAAAAAATGTCTGGTACAAAAGGCGGATTTAATACTATATAGCATTCTCTCGCAGTCAACCTTTGGCAAAACAGAAATTTTATTATGCGGTGAAAAAAATTACAACACATACAATAGAGATTATATAAATATACATACATGAATACATTAAACAAATATTACATAAATATACAAATATGTAATAAAAATACATATATACAAATATAAATATACATATATAAATATACATATATAAATATACCTACTTATAGATTATATACGATAACACAAATAAACAACGATAGAGATCAAAAGTGATGTGCATATGTGTAATATGCCTTAGATTATATAGATCTTAGATTACGAAGCATACAGATTGGCAATGTTAAAAAATACACAAGAACTTGTATTTGAGAGCGAGAGAGACAATAGGACAATAATTTGCATAACATATGGCCGAAGCTGTTTTGGCGGAAGTATGAACAAAATTTTTTTTTTTTTTTTGAAGTATGAACAAAATTTTTTGAAGGAAGGAAGGAAGGAAGGAAGGAAGGAAGGAAGGAAGGAAGGAAGGAAGGAAGGAAGGAAGGAAGGAAGGAAGGAAGGAAGGAAGGAAGGAAGGAAGGAAGGAAGGAAGGAAGGAAGGAAGGAAGGAAGGAAGGAAGGAAGGAAGGAAGGAAGGAAGGAAGGAAGGAAGGAAGGAAGGAAGGAAGGAAGGAAGGAAGGAAGGAAGGAAGGAAGGAAGGAAGGAAGGAAGGAAGGAAGGAAGGAAGGAAGGAAGGAAGGAAGGAAGGAAGGAAGGAAGGAAGGAAGGAAGGAAGGAAGGAAGGAAGGAAGGAAGGAAGGAAGGAAGGAAGGAAGGAAGGAAGGAAGGAAGGAAGGAAGGAAGGAAGGAAGGAAGGAAGGAAGGAAGGAAGGAAGGAAGGAAGGAAGGAAGGAAGGAAGGAAGGAAGGAAGGAAGGAAGGAAGGAAGGAAGGAAGGAAGGAAGGAAGGAAGGAAGGAAGGAAGGAAGGAAGGAAGGAAGGAAGGAAGGAAGGAAGGAAGGAAGGAAGGAAGGAAGGAAGGAAGGAAGGAAGGAAGGAAGGAAGGAAGGAAGGAAGGAAGGAAGGAAGGAAGGAAGGAAGGAAGGAAGGAAGGAAGGAAGGAAGGAAGGAAGGAAGGAAGGAAGGAAGGAAGGAAGGAAGGAAGGAAGGAAGGAAGGAAGGAAGGAAGGAAGGAAGGAAGGAAGGAAGAGTACCTATGCCTATGGCAAGCGAGAAGAAGATTACATAGGTATATATACAAAATTTAATTTCAATTTGTACATAGATAACATGACTACTAACATCTTCACTACGTCTTGCCGCTACACACTAGATGGCGTGCAGGTTAATTTACAAGTCGATATCATGATTATTTACGAGACCAATATAATAGTAAAAGACCATAAGAAACCTACGGTTTAGGTTAGGTTAGGTTAGGTTAGGTTAGGTTAGGTTAGGTTAGGTTAGGTTAGGTTAGGTTAGGTTAGGTTAGGTTAGGTTAGGTTAGGTTAGGTTAGGTTAGGTTAGGTTAGGTTAGGTTAGGTTAGGTTAGGTTAGGTTAGGTTAGGTTAGGTTAGGTTAGGTTAGGTTAGGTTAGGTTAGGTTAGGTTAGGTTAGGTTAGGTTAGGTTAGGTTAGGTTAGGTTAGGTTAGGTTAGGTTAGGTTAGGTTAGGTTAGGTTAGGTTAGGTTAGGTTAGGTTAGGTTAGGTTAGGTTAGGTTAGGTTAGGTTAGGTTAGGTTAGGTTAGGTTAGGTTAGGTTAGGTTAGGTTAGGTTAGGTTAGGTTAGGTTAGGTTGGGGTGCTGGGTCGGAAAACCTCCAAGAGTGCCCTGGCTCATTGTACGGTCACTTGTCCTGGTGCGGATACGTCCGGCGGGAACGGTGGCTGACAATGGCTGGGGCCTGGTGCATCCTGGGCAACGGCGGTAAGTGACTTCTCGCTATTTAGAGATCTCACTTACCGACGGCTAATCTTCCGACGCCGCGGGTGGGACGAGTTCGTGACGCACTATTTGTGTTGCGGATTTGCCTGACTCGCTCTTCGTTTTCTTTCGTCTTCCTTTTGTTATTCTTCGTTTTTGTTTTGTTTGTTTTATTTTTGTTTTGAGTCTTTACTGTCGTCTTTTCTGTCTTCTATTTTCTTTCTGTCGTTTTGTTTTTTCTATCATTTTTCGTTTTCAATTTCCTTTCGCCTTTCACGGGACCTTCCCCGTTAAAAAAGGAAAACATGAGAATGGCCAGTCGCAAAACTGAATTCCCCAGGGCGGTACCGTCGGGAGACGGAGAATCCGCCACCACCGCACCGGTTCAGCCGGGGGTGGTCAGCCCCGTGTATCTGGGGGGGGCAACGGAAGGCCAGAGGGGAGTAGGAGAAGATGTTGTTGTGAGAGGAGAGATAGTGAAGGAGGTGGGACTGGAGACCAAAGTGGTCCCGGTAAGAGCTCGCCGGAGTATGGAGATCGATCCGGCTATGGACGATGAATTGTCCATGCTTGCCCGCGAGATCGACAGCTCACTTTCGCGGTCGACTTCGTGTGCAAGTATGTTATTCAGTGAGGATGAGGACTTTTGGAGCGTCCTCGCTCCAGGCGCAAAAGGCGCCATTCGAGAAGTGATGAGGAGTCGTCAGTTGTCGAAAGCGACTCACAAACCTCGGCTAAGAGGAAGGGAAAGGCTGGGAAGGCAAAAGCCCCCAGCAGCGCAGAGCAGTTCCGTGTCGCTCTGTACGAAGGAGGAAACACCGTTCCGCCCAAGGCTATTTCACCTAAGGCCACGGGCCGATATGCAGGACTGTCGCAGGCGAGGGCCGACCTTGCCGAATATGTCGATAGAGAAATGGAGAAAGAGGCCGCAGAGGCCGTTGCCGGCACTTCGAAACCAGTGACTCGCCATTACAACATATTCCCCGTGGAGGAAATTAAGCGAGCAGACGTCGTCGGAGCCGAAATGGATGAATGTGCCAGAAACGTTTTGGAGGCCGTCAAAAAATCTGGCCACTTGAAGGGTACGATTATAAAGACGATCAAAGAGAATATAACGACCATCCGCAGAAACACGGAGTGGTTCGTTGACCGGACGAACACGGCCGAATGCGCTGATCTGCGCAAAGACAACGCCCGGTTGGAGGCTGAATTGAAGGAGCGGCAAATTATGTTGACCGGCATCCGCGAGGAGTCGGTCAGAAGCGCCGTCGAGATGAGGGCCCTTCGCAAGGCAGTCGCTAACGCCCCAAACGCGAAAGAGGTGCTCGAGCTTAGAGCCGAGAGGGAAAACCTCGAGCGTCAGGTTCAGTCATATGTCGACGAGACCATAGACCTGAAGAGGAGATTGCTGGAGCAGAGCGTTGAGCTCCGCAAGCTTAAAAACCAGCTACAAGAGCTGCAAGCCTCGTCAGTGCCGCAGCGTGCGCCTGGTGAGGCTACCAAGGACAAGACATGTGCTGCACCGGCCCCTATACAGCCGGTCGCGGCTTCTCCAGATGAGAGCCTGGAGGCGAGAATTGTACGGCAGATCGGAGACATGTTTAATGTCCGACTTGCCGCAATTGAGGAACGGCTCGCACAACCCGGCAAGAGGAAGCCGGCACGCAATGCGAAAGCCGCAAGGAGTGCCTCGCAATCCGCTCCGCGAGCACCGAAGGCACCAACCCAGAGTAGGGACCGGGCAACTCAACCGGTTCCAGCTGGCGATCCGGGCACGAGTCGCGCCCCGCCGCTGTCCGCTAGTACAACAACGGAGCAGTGGACGACGGTCGTTCGGCGCGGCAAGCGTCGGAAGAAGACCCCAGCGAAGGAGGCCCCCGCCAGTCAGGCGGCACAAGGGAAGACGGCGCCTGCCACGGCACCGGCGCCGAAGCCAAAGAAGAAGAGGAAGAGAAGATTCCGTCTTCCGCGCTCGCAGGCAGTCGTTATCACTCTGCAGCCCGGCGCGGAAGAAAAGGGTATAACCTATGCGACAGTGTTCCGAGAGGCCCACAGCAAGCTCTCACCGACCGAACTCGGAATCACCGATGCCAGGTTCAGATTAGGCGCCACAGGGTCGCGTATACTGGAGGTGCCAGGCGCCGATTCAGGCGTCAAAGCAGACCTGCTGGCCAATAAGCTGGCAGAGATCCTGCCGGAGGGGGCCGTCAAGATTTCCAGGCCGATCAAGTCGGCTGAACTGCGAATAAGGAATCTTGACGACTCGGCTACACCTGCCGAGGTCATTGCCGCGGTTGCGCGGGAAGGTGGTTGCGACGAGGCCCTCATCAAGACGGGGGAGATCCGTCGCGCTCCCTCGGGAGTCGGCTCCATATGGGTTCGCTGCCCAGTAAGTGCTGCCAAGGCCCTGTCCAAAGCCGGCCGGGTAAAAGTGGGCTGGGTAATGGCTCGGGTTCAGACATTAGAACCGAGGCCCATGCGGTGCTACCGCTGCTTGCTCTCTGGGCACGTAGCGCAGTGGTGCACCGCCAGTGTGGACACCAGCGGGGGCGTGTTGTGCTTCCGCTGCGGAAAAGCGGGCCATAAATCCGCTCAGTGTACTGCGCAGTCGCCAGCTTGCGGTTTCTGCGCCGCGGAAGGTCGAAAATCCGACCACAGAGTAGGCAGCACAGCAAAGTGCCGTCCACGGAAGGCTCGAGCTCCGGCGCGAGATAGCCGTGTAGGCGGCGAGGCGATGGATACCTAGCGGTGCAATTTACACGCCGTTGGGAGTCCATCGGCTCCGATAGTGATCTCCAGGGCGGAGGATGGCGGGAGACGTCCGAAGCCCATTGTGTGGTAGGAGATCCGAGAGTCATGCGCTGCGTATTCCCGGCGCATCACTCAGAGAAGCCCTGTAAAGAGGGCGGCGCTGCTGGTGGTGTGGATGATTGCGAAAGCGTACCCAGACCACCGGTGCGAAAGCGCCAAGAGGAATACCGGGGGGTTTTTAGTGGGTAAGAATCCCACAGTATCCACCGTCATCCCGCTGGCGGTGGTTCTCTTTCTGAAGATTTTCCCCTCGTTAAAAAAAAAAAAAAAAAAAAAAAAAAGGTTAGGTTAGGTTTGCTTAGTTTAGGTTAGGTTAGGTTAGGTTAGGTTAGGTTAGGTTAGGTTAGGTTAGGTTAGGTTAGGTTAGGTTAGGTTAGGTTAGGTTAGGTTTAGGTTAGGTTAGGTTAGGTTAGGTTAGGTTAGGTTAGGTTAGGTTAGGTTAGGTTAGGTTAGGTTAGGTTAGGTTAGGTTAGGTTAGGTTAGGTTAGGTTAGGTTAGGTTAGGTTAGGTTAGGTTAGGTTAGGTTAGGTTAGGTTAGGTTAGGTTAGGTTAGGTTAGGTTAGGTTAGGTTAGGTTAGGTTAGGTTAGGTTAGGTTAGGTTAGGTTAGGTTAGGTTAGGTTAGGTTAGGCCAGGTTAGCCAGGCCAGGCCAGGCCAGGCCTCCAAGGTGGCTCATTGTACGGTCACTTGTCCTTGTGCGGATACGTGCGGCGGGAACGGTGTCTGACAATGGATGGGGCATGGTGCATCCTGGGCAACGGCGGTAAGTGACTTCTCGCTATTTAGAGATCTCAGGCCGACGGCCAGGCCAGGCCAGGCCAGGACGAGTTCGTGACGCACTATTTGTGTTGCGGACTCGGCCACCGCTCTTCGTTTTATTTCTACTTCTGTTTCGTTTTTCTTCGGCCAGGTTTTTGTTTTTGTTTGCCAGGCCTTTTCTGTCGTCTTTTCTGGCATCTTTCTCTTTTCTGTCGTTTTTGTTTGTCTATACTTTTCAGGCCAGGCTTTTCGGCCTTCCTAGGCCACCTCACCAGTTAAAAAAGGAATAAAGATGTAATGGCCAATCGAAAAACTGGCCCCAGGCCGGTACCGTCCAGGAGGCCAGGCCAGGCCGCCACCAGGCCAGGCCAGGCCAGGCCAGGCCAGGTCAGGCCAGGTATCAGGCCAGGCCAGGGAGGCCAGGCCAGGCCAGGAGGCCAGGGAGGCCAGGCCAGGCCAGGCCAGGAGGCCAGGGTCCAGGTAGGCCAGGCCAGGAGTAGGAGATCCAGGCCAGGCCAGGACCAGGCCAGGCCAGGCCAGGCCAGGCCAGGCCAGGCCAGGCCAGGCTTTCAGGCCAGGTCAGGCCAGTGTGCAAGGCCAGGCCAGGAGGCCATGAGGCCAGGCCAGGCCAGGCCAGGCCAGGCCAAGGCCAGGCCAGGCCAGGCCAGGCCAGGCCAGGCCAGGCCAGGCGACCAGGCCTCGGCCAGGCCAGGCCAGGCTGGGAAGGCCAAAGGCCAGGCCAGGCCAGGCCAGGCCAGGCCAGGCCAGGCCAGGCCAGGCAGGCCAGGCCAGGCCAGGCCAGGCCAGGCTACGGGCCGATATGCCAGGACTGTCCAGGCCAGAGGGCAGGCCAGGCCAGGCCAGGCCAGGCCAGGCCAGGCCAGGCCAGGCCAGGCCAGGCCAGGCCAGGCCAGGCCAGGCCAGGCTCGCCATTAGGCCAGGCCAGGCCCCGTGGCCAGGCCAGGCCAGGCCAGACGGCCAGGCCAGGAGCCAGGCCAGGCCAGGCCAGGCCAGGCCAGGCCAGGCCAGGCCAGGCCAGGCCAGGCCAGGCCAGGCCAGGATCCAGGCCAGGCCAGGCCAGGCCAGGCCAGGCCAGGCCAGGCCAGGCCAGGCCAGGCCAGGCCAGGCTGAGGCCAGGCCAGGCCAGGCCAGGCCAGGCCAGGCCAGGCCAGGCCAGGCCAGGCCAGGCCAGGCCAGGCCAGGCCAGGCCAGGCCAGGCCAGGCCAGGCCAGGCCAGGCCAGGCCAGCCGCCAGGCCAGGCCAGGCCAGGCCAGGCCAGGCCAGGCCAGGCCAGGCCAGGCCAGGCCAGGCCAGGCCAGGGTCAGGCCAGGCCAGGCCAGGCCAGGCCAGGCCAGGCCAGGCCAGGCCAGGCCAGGCCAGGCCAGGCCAGGCCAGGCCAGGCCAGGCCAGGCCAGGCCAGGCCAGGCCAGGCAGGCCAGGCCAGGCCAGGCCGCCAGGCCAGGCCAGGCCAGGCCAGGCCAGGCCAGGCCAGGCCAGGCCCCTAGGCCAGGCCAGGTCCAGGCCAGGCCAGGCCAGGCCAGGCCAGGCCAGGCCAGGCCAGGCAGATCAGGCCAGGCCAGGCCAGGCCAGGCCAGGCCAATTGCCAGGCCAGGCCAGGCCAGGCCAGGCCAGGCCAGGCCAGGCCAGGCCAGGCCAGGCCAGGCCAGGCCAGGCCAGGCCAGGCCAGGCCAGGCCAGGCCAGGCCAGGCCAGGCCAGGCCAGGGACCAGGCCAGGCCAGGCCGGTTTCAGCCAGGATCCAGGCCAGGCCAGGCCAGGCCAGGCCAGGCCAGGCCAGGCCAGGCCAGGCCAGGCCAGGCCAGGCCGAGGCCAGGCCAGGCCAGGCCAGGTCGGGGCCAGGCCAGGCCAGGCCAGGCCAGGCCAGGCCAGGCCAGGCCAGGCCAAGCCAGAAGGCCAGGCCAGGCCAGGCCAGGCCAGGCCAGGCCAGGCCAGGCCAGGCCAGGCCAGGCCAGGCCAGGCCAGGCCAGGCCAGGCCAGGCCAGGCCAGGCCAGCAGCCAGGCCAGGCCAGGCCAGGCCAGGCCAGGCCAGGCCAGGCCAGGCCAGGCCAGGCCACCGGCCAGGCCAGGCCAGGCACCGACGCCAGGCCAGGCCAGGCCAGGCACAGGGTCGCGTATACCAGGAGGTGCCAGGTGCCAGGCCAGGCGAGGCAAGGCAGACCTGCTGGCCAGGCTGGCAGGATCCAGGCCGGAGGCCAGGCCAGGCCAGGCCAGGCCAGGCCAGTCCAGGCCAGCGAGGCCAGGCCAGGCCAGGCCAGGCCAGGCCAGGCCAGGCCAGGCCAGGCCAGGAAGGTGGTTGCCAGGCCAGGCCAGGCCAGGCCAGGCCAGGCCAGGCCAGTCGGCCAGGCCAGGCCAGGCCAGGCCAGGCCAGGCCAGGCCAGGCCAGGCCAGGCCAGGCCAGGCCGGCCGGGTAAGGCCAGGCTGGGTAATGGCCAGGGTTCAGGCCAGGCCAGGCCCAGGCGGGCCAGGCCAGGCCAGGCTCTGGGCAGGCGCAGGGTGCAGGCCAGGCCAGGCCAGGCCAGGCCAGGCGGTTGGCCCCAGCTGTGGAAAAGCCAGGCCAGGCCAGGCCAGCCAGGTACCAGGCCAGGCCAGCTTGCGGTTTCTGCGCCGCCAGGCCAGGCCAGGCCAGGCCGACCACAGGCCAGGCCAGGCCAGGCCAGGCCGTCCAGGCCAGGCCGAGGCCAGGCCGAGGCCAGGCCGTGTAGGCCAGGCCAGGCCATGGATACCTAGCCAGGCAAGGCCAGGCCAGGCCAGGCCAGGCTCCGGCCAGGATCTCAGGGCGGAGGATGGCCAGGCCAGGTCCAGGCCCATTGTGTGCCAGGCCAGGCCAGGTCAGCGCGCGCCAGGCCCGGCGCATCCTCCAGGAGAAGCCCTGTAAAGGCCAGGCTGCTGGTGGTGTGGATGGCCAGGCGAAAGGCCAGGCCACCAGGTGCGAAAGGCCAGGCCAGGAATACCGGGGGGTTTTTAGGGGTAAGAATCCCACAGTATCCACCGTCATCCCGCTGGCCAGGTGGTTCTCTTTCTGAAGATTTTCCCCAGGTTAGGCCAAAAAAGGCCAGGTTAGGTTAGGTTAGGTTAGGTTAGGTTAGGTTAGGTTAGGTTAGGTTAGGTTAGGTTAGGTTAGGTTAGGTTAGGTTAGGTTAGGTTAGGTTAGGTTAGGTTAGGTTAGGTTAGGTTAGGTTAGGTTAGGTTAGGTTAGGTTAGGTTAGGTTAGGTTAGGTTAGGTTAGGTTAGGTTGGGGTGCTGGGTCGGAAAACCTCCAAGAGTGCCCTGGCTCATTGTACGGTCACTTGTCCTGGTGCGGATACGTCCGGCGGGAACGGTGGCTGACAATGGCTGGGGCCTGGTGCATCCTGGGCAACGGCGGTAAGTGACTTCTCGCTGTAGAGATCTCACTTACCGACGGCTAATATTCCGACAGAGGTGGTGAGCGGCGAGCCCAAGTTATGGGGTTTGTCGTGTTTTCGTTGGGGGCGGGTTTTTGTTCCGCGACTTCTCGTAGTGGGAGTGGTCGGCGGGCCCGGTGAGTGCTTCGTTGCGCAATCGGGCTGGTTTCAGTGCCACCGCCGAAAAACCGTAATCCCTCGCGAAGGTGTGGTCATGTTTCGCACCGGAGTGAGGGGACGGGGGCCTTGGCTTAATCGCCTGGGCCGCGAGGAGTAAACCTCTATAAAAATCCTCTTGTGTAAGCTTCGGTGCCTGGCGATGCATAGTTCGTTGTGCGGTGCACGCTACCGGACATCATAAGTTCGGTTAGCGTGTTCTGTGCCGCGGGCGGGTCGGTGGAGTATCATCGGCCGCAAGGGCACCAACCTCGGGGTATCTGCCGCACCCCGTTGTATGTAGGCCGCACGCAGAAGCAGGGGGCTCCCCTGCGTGTGAAACCTTTCCCCCATACTCGTGGGAACAAGTATGGATATGTCAAAAACGAAACCTAAAATTGATGTCGTGTCCGAGAAGGACGGTGAGAAGTCGGTGCCCGCGAAGGGCGGAGAGAAGTCGGTGCCCGTGAAGGGCGGTGTTAGTAAAAAGAAGTCGGAAGTGGAGGTTCTAAAAGAGTGCTCCGTTGTACTGGGCGAGGATGTTGTGGAGTTAGGTCGCCGTCGCACTCGTCACAGCTTGCTGAGGGCGGTTGCGGGCGAGACCGACTGCGGGTCTTCGCGGTCGAGCTTGTGCGCATCCCCAATTGATGAAGGCATGGAGACGGAGCAGTTGCCGTCCACATCTGGACTACGCTCCTGGCGCAAAAGGCGTCTTAACGAGTCCGATACGGACTCCACGGTCGAGGATGAGGGCGATGTCCAATCCGTCCGCAAAAGGTCCGGCAGCCCTAGAGTGGGATCGAGAGCCAGTTCGATCGCTAGAAAGAAGGAGGAGTGTCGGCAATTTACATACCGATTTTTCGAAGACGAAGGGACAGCCGCTGGCAAATCTGGTCTGCCCCCAGTGACGGTCTTAGATTATCACGAGAGTGATTTCTTTTCTTCCGGAGATGAGGAGTCAGACAAACCGACGGAGTTGGACAGGCCGACGGCATCTGGCGCCACTGCCACCGCTGCCGCCGGTGACAAGAACAAAGTGGCCGAGGAGGTACTCCATAGGGCGAAACTTCTCGTCCATCGGCAAGCGGATGCTCTTAGCGACGTCGTTAAGAAGGCGGGAAATCTCAAAGGGACCACCATAAGGACCCTGAAAGAGGGTTTGGCCGGGATCACACAGGTTGTGGACACCTTGGAGGGGGATCTATTTCCGACGTCGGTCTCTCCACTGGTCTCAAAGAACCTGAGACTTGAGCAGGAAGTCGAGTACCTGCGTCGGCAGTTGGCCGAGGCTCGTGCTGCCTAGCCAGCGGCCCAGGCCGGTATCTCGGCAGACGGTGTTCCTGTTGTAGGAAGTGATGCGAGCGCATTCCGTGCTCAGATAATGAGAGATGTCGGCGGCATCGTCCGCCAAATGGTAGGGACATTTATGAAAGAGGTGAGAGAAATGATCTCCATTCGCCCCCCTCCAGAGAAGGTGTCGTCCTCGTCTGCGGTCTCCACGCAAACTTTGCCCGAGGCCGGGACAATGGCGTCAGATGTGCCCGACACCCCTAGAGTCGGCGACCGGGGTTCTGTTCCCCAGTCAGAAACGGGTCGGGCCAAGAAGAAGAAGGCGAAGAAGACGCCCGTCACACCGGCGCCCTCTGGACAGCCCGAGCCGGTGGCTTCGACCTCCGCTCAAACGTCTGTGCAGCCGACCGCGTCCTCCTGGGCGACGGTCGTAAAAGGAAAACGGGGCAAGACCGTCAGTGTTCCCGAAGGGCAGCCTGTGGCTGTCAACCCTCCGGTGACGAAAGCCGGTTCGGCCCCCTCGAAGAAGGCAAAGAAGACGAGCGCACCCTCGCCTTCTAAACTGAAACCGCCTCGCTCCGCGGCGGTTATTATTACGTTGGACCCGGAGGCGGAAAGGGAGGGTGTCGCGTATGCGAATGTCCTTGCGGAGGCCAAGAGAAGGATCGATCTCCGCGCATTGGGGATTGAAGATATGCGGTTTCGCACCGCGATCACCGGCGGTAAGGTCCTAGAGGTTCCAGGTGCTGATGGCGCGGAGAAGGCCGACGTTCTGGCGTCGAAGCTCCGGGAGTTCATCCCGGAGAATATGGCCAAAATTTCCAGGCCCGTAAAGTCCGCGGAGATGCGGATATCGGGCCTGGACGACAGTGTTACGTCGGAGGAAGTGGTCGCTGCGGTTGCCCGGGAGGGCGGCTGTCAGGTGGACCAAGTGCGAGTCGGAGAGGTTCGACGTACTAGATCTGGGGTGGGCACTTGCTGGGTTAAAGCTCCATTGCAAGCAGTTAAGAAGATGACGGTCGCCGGCCGAGTTCGTATAGGCTGGGTTTCGGCGAAAGCAGAGCTCCTGCGGCAGAGGCCGCTTCGGTGCTTCCGCTGCTTGGAGGAAGGACATGTGCGGGCATCCTGCAGTCATGAGCAGGACCGCAGCGGTCTATGTTACCGCTGCGGAAACGAAGGCCATAAGGCGGCGATGTGCGCGGCCGACCCAAAGTGCGCTGTGTGTTCAGCGCAGGGCCGACCGTCGGACCATTGGGTGGGGTCCAAGGCCTGCACTCCTCCTAAGAAGCGTAAGAAGCAACCGGTGAAATTGCCGAACCCAGCAGGCCGGGTGAGTGTGGAGGGAGAGGAGATGGAAACGGGCAGGTAGTCCCGCCCTCCTCTCCGGCGATAATTACATCGCCACAGGGCCGGGGTGACGACTGCGGGGGCAGTCCCATCCCACACCAACATGGCCCTGGGAAGTCGCGCGCGCATCCCCGCGCGCTTCCCCTGGATGGGGGTGGGTATTCAACATCTCGTACCCGCCCCAAACTGAGTCGGGGCCCGCGAGCCGGTGCGGGCCAATGCCGTTGGGGATCCCGGTGGATTACGCAAGGGAACCCGTCCCCAACATTAAGGCGCGGCGAGGGAATGCCATGTGGTTTTTAGCCGGTAGGAGTCCGGCAGTATTCACACCCTCCCCCGGGGGTGTGTCTCTGCATGACGCATTTTCCACATGTAAAAAAAAAAAAAAAAAAAAAAAAAAAAAGGTTAGGTTAGGTTAGGTTGGGTTAGGTTAGGTT